AGAAGATGGAGGGAATACAGAGTCATTGAGTATTCGAAAAGAAATTACACTGAAAAATTTCGGGAAGTACCACATGAGCAGAAGCCAAGGGTAATAAAGGAGGAAGTTGAAACTACACTGAAGGCATTGGCAAAATATAAGGCCCCAGGAATCGATGGGATAGCAATTGACATGTTTCAAATAACAGACGCAGTCCTGGATATGCTCACCAGTCTATGTCAGATAATTTGGATGACAGCTGTCAGGTCATTGTATTGGAAGAGGTCCATATTTGTTTCCATTCCCAAGAAAGGTGATCCAACAGAATATGGAAACTATTGAATAGATTAAATAGGTATGGAGAAAGAAAAAAAAAAAAAGAAAATGGGTGACCCTGGATGACGTTATGCTGAGTGAAGTATCTCAGTCACAAAAGGACAAACACTGCATGTTGTAAAACAGGACTGACCTCGGGATTTGGGGGAGACTGAGAAAGATGAGTTCAGTAATGTATACTGCATTGAAACAGATGAGGGAGCAAACTGTTTAAAAGGGATATGTGATTAGGTATTTTTGTCATGACAGGAGTCCAGAACAAAGGCTGCGGACCTGGGGGGAGGGATTGTAAAACAGTGAAAGAATTTTTCTTTTACTTTTCAAAAAGAAGAGTGTACTGGGAGGGGTGAGCAGGGAGAAAAGTGCAACAGTGAATGAATGGAAATCCAAAGTCTCTGTAAATTTTCATTGAAATTAATAATAAATTTAAAAAAATCCTCAAACACAGACGAAGTATTCCACAAAAGAGTTATTGTTTCTTGTGGCAGCAATTGGACAAAGCAGATCCCCCTAGTATAATATTGATTGTTGGTATTCACAGCTCTCCCAGGGGAGCTCTGAATGCTAGTGGTAAGGTATTGTGCTGCCAGCCCAAAGGAATGTGGTTCAAATCCCCCACCTATTCCACAGGAAAAAGATAGGCAATCTCCTTCCATGCAATTTACAGCTTCTGTAAACCTTCTGGAGAATGAGCTATGAGTTGGTTCCATATCGATAGTACTTATCAATAACAACTCAGCTCTCCCATAGCACTAGTCACTGAGATCGGACTTTCCACTTGTCTTTGTCAGTCTTCAGAACAACACAAGTATACTTTGCCCCTCCTCCACAAAAGGAGTTTCTGGTATAAGAGAAACAGAAAGACATGCTCAAAGGAACACCACTGAGAAGTGCCAGCACCAGGGATACTGCCTGTCTCCATATGTTTTCAATTTTATGTGGAACAGATTATCTGGGAGGCTAGGCTCTATGATGAGGAATGTAGCATCAGGATTGGAGGAAGACTCATCAGCAACCTGCATTATGCAGATGACACAACTGTGCTTTCTGAAACTGAGAGAACCTGAAACACTTGCTGCAGAAGGTCAAGGACTGGAGCCTTCAATATGGATTGAAGCTCAACATCAGAAAAACAAAGATTCTCATCACCAGGCCATACAGCAGCATCATGATAGGCAGTGAAGAGATTGAGATTGTTAACAACTTCAGTTTGCATGGCTCCACAATCAGCAGCCAGGAAATCAAAAGACGAATTTCATTGGGAAAGTCTACTGTCAGACTTCTCCAGAATACTGACGAGTAATGATATCTGGAGACTAAGGGGCACCTGATGCAGGCCATAGTCTTTACAATTGCTTGCTATGAATCAGAAAGCTGGACAATGACTAGGTATGTTAGAAGGAGAATTGCCTGTGAGCTGTGGTCCTGGAAAGAGTATTGAATATACCATGAACTGTCAGGAGGACAAACAGGTTTGTCCTAGAGAGGGTGAAACCAGGCTGCTCTTGGAGGCAAGGATTCTGAAGCTTCATCTGACATACTTTGGACATGTTGCAAGAAGGGACCAGTCCTTGGAGAAGGGGCATCATGTTTGGGAAAGTGGAGGGACAGTGCAAGAGAGAAAGACCCTTAATAAGATGGATTGACTCAGCGACTGAGGTAATGGAGGTACGTGTGTCAGAGACAATAAGGTTGTCTCAGGATAGAGCAGGGTTCAGAGCTGTTGTACATAGGGTCACTATGAGTCGCAAGCGGCACATAACAACAATCGCTCCAAATAAAGAAATTGAGAATTTTTACCAGTTTTCACATTCTGAACTTGATCAGAGATCCAATTAAGATGATAAAATAATAACTGGTGATTGGAATGCAAAAATTAGAAATAGAAGAATTGGTAGTTTGAAAGTACGACCTTGATGATTGAAAACAGGCTGAAGATTACATAATAAGAATTTTGTATAACCAATGACTATTAATGGCATGTATTTTTTTAAAAAAATTGTTTTTCCATCAATCATTCATATGTATTTTGATTTGTAACATTAATTATAATTTATCATTAATTACTATTCTGTCTCATTAAATCCTCACTGTGCTTTGCCTTTTCCTTCACCGAATATCCATTTGCTAATCTCAGCTCCCTTCTCCCTCCTTCCCTCTCCTGTCACTCTTCCATGATTGATTGCGTGTAAACCTTGAGTCTATCCCATTTGAATTTAAAAACCATTCAAGAGTAAATTTTAGGCATTGATCAGTAATGACCCAAGACCTCAGGTGCTGTGGGATAACATCAATGACACCATCCATTAAGAAAGCCAAAGGTCATTATAAAGACAGGAGAGGGAAAACACACCTCAAAATGGATATTCAGAAGAGACTGAAAATTGCAGTAGAATGTAGAGAGATCATGACAAAGGGAAGAAATGTTGAAGTAAGCCAGATAAACAGAACATTTCAAAGGGCAGCTTGAAATGATGAAGTGTTATAATGAAATGTGCTAAGTCTTGGATTTAAAAAAAACAAAAGGGATGAACACAATTGACATTTCTCAAGCTGGAAGAACTTGAGAACAAACACAAGCCTTGAGCTGCAATCTGAAGGATGCTATGAAAAACTATTGAATGACACAGGACGCATCCAAAGAAGAAAGAAATAGAGTCACTCACTGCACCAAAAAGAATTAGTCAGTGTGCAGCCTGTTTAGGGAATAGCACAGGATCAGGAACCAATGGTATTGAAAGAAAAAGTTTAGGTTACACTATTGACACAGCAACATAATGAAAATAAGAATCCTCATGAGTCACAAAATCCTCACCAAAATGTCTGAAGCACCATCATGATATATTGATGTTGTAAAGGATTTAATTTTATCAATATCCATAGAATCAGCATTCAAGAAATCAGATGATATTTTGGGCACATCTGCTGTCAAGGATATCTTTAAAGTGTGAACAAGGATGTCAGTTTAAAGACTAAAGGATGCCTGATTTAAGCTATGGTATTTTCACCTATTTCACGTGAAAGTGATGCCTTTGAATTCCTGTGTTGATAAAGAACACTGACTGCATGATGGACTGCTGTACGAAGAGACAAGTCTGTCTGAAATGCAGCCAGATGGCAGTGCCTGGAACCATGGGCTGAATCATAGCAGAGATTATGAGAATGACACAAGATGGGGAGGGTTGGTACATAGGATTAGAACATCTGTTGTATGTAGCATCATTATGAAATCAAGCTGACTCGACAACACATACAGCAGCTCCAGGTATCTAGGTTTGGGGAGTAAAACTATGCTAGGGTTAGCAGACAGTTCTGATAGCACATGCAGCCTAACATGTGAGCAATAGATGGTGGTTTAATTGGAGGGTCACATAATGGTAGCAATGCCACATGTAAAATTGTCTTAAAGGCAGAATGCCTGTTATCCAAACACAGGTGGAAGGAAGCCTCTGCCCCAAACAGACTGCTGCTCCTAAGCCCTGACTTTGTATAAATTTTAGAGTCAGAATAATAAAAATAACTACTGAGATCCAGGCCATAGTCTTTGCAATTGCTTGCTGTGTGTCCAAGAGCTGGATAATGACTAGGGATGACAGAAGGAGAGTTGATGCCTTTGAGTTGTGGTGCTGGAGAAGAGTATTGAATATACCATGGACTGCTAGGAGAACAAACAGGTTCCTCCTAGAGAGGGTGAAACTAGGCTGCTCCTTGGAGGCAAGGATTCTGAGACTTCGTCTGACGTACTTTGGACATGTTTCAAGGAGGGACCAGTCCTTGGAGAGGGACGTCATGCTTGGGAAGGTAGAAGGACAGTGAAAAGAAGAAGACCCTCAATGATATGAATTGACTCAGTGACTGGGGTAATGAGGGTAGGTTTGTCAGAGACAGTAAGATTGGCACAGGATAGAGGTTTCATGGCTATTGTACATTGGGTTGCTACGAATTGCAAGCAACAACTATTTTTTGAGCACTTACTATGTGGCAGGTACTATGCAGAAAATACTCCCCTTGAGGTATACTCCCTATCCTTGAATTCTTACAACACTAAAACATGGGGAGTCAGGCTCCAAAACATTAAGTATGTTATCCAAAGTCACCTAGCAAGTGTAACTAGTATATATAGGTGCTGGTATCAACATTGAGGGCATAAGAGCTGAAGATAGGCAGGAACCAAGGGCATTGGCATCAAGACTTAGAAAGTTTCAGAAAGCACCGAGACTTGCTGTTCTGTTGTAGTGATGAGAGGAAGGAGACAGCTTGTCTTATTCATGAGAAGCCACTGATGGACTTGAACCCCTGCAGTCTCAAGGCCTTTAGGTTAGAGCACAGCAGACACAGCATACTCACTGTGTACTGTGCCACCAGACTCCTATCTGGAGAGGCCCAGGTATGAGAACAGCACCCCTTTGTTTTCTTTTCCTCAGGGTGGCTCAGCCCCTCTGTCCTGGCCCCTGCGAATCAGCATCTGCTCTGGGCTGTTCCAAGCAGTGGTGCATCTGCATGGCCTGGAGATCATCCATAGCAACATCAAGAGGTGAGACCTTCCTGGGCTCAGCCAGGGTTTCCCTTTCACCCCTCTACCCTTATGAGTGTCTTGGAGGGCCCTCCATCCCTGAGTAGTCTGTGCATGACGTATTGTCTTGTCACATTTGCCTCTGAGTGGATGTGTTCCCTGGGAGCCCGTCTGCCTCATGTGCTGCATACCCCATCCAGCACCTGATCTGCACCCACCTCGACCCTGAGCCTTGGGCACTAGGTGCCAAGCTCTTCCCTGCTTGTGTACCTATCTTTTAAATCAGTTCTTTGGCCTGAGGCTCCAGCAAGTAAAGTGCACACCCTAGAACCTTCCCCTTTCCACCCAGGAACACAAGGTTCTTTGCTAGGGCCTGGCTGCATAATGAGAAATTTAAAAATATACCAGAAAATCTGGTTAAACTGGCCCTGGAATGATAGAACTCACACCTGCCCAAAGTTCCCATCTCTATGTGGCCCGTGGAAGCACTTTTTGTCTTCTAACACCCTTGATTTTTTTTTTTATTTAAACAATTGTCTTAACAAGACAGGAAGTGAAAGGACAAAAGGTCATTACTGACACTTTTAACCCTATGAATTTGTGCTGTTTTCTCCCCTCCATATAAACATGGTAAGGGGAGGGCTGTTGGCCTGGTAGTAAGAAGTTACATTGTTAATCCTAAAGTGTGTGATCTGAATCTCCCTGCTGCTCCTTAGGAGAAAGATGGGCAGTGGAGAGCAAGAATGAGAAGCTGGTCCCAAGAAAGGAGCAGCCTTTATTGCATGGTCTGAGAAGGACACAGACAAGGACAGTTCCTTTTTTTTTCTTTTTTATTAATTTAGTTTGTTTATTTTTCATTTCAATGAACATCTACAGAGATCTTGGAATTCCATTCATTCATTGTTGTACCCTTCT